GTGCATTTCCCCAATCATTACCTTTGTCCGACAAAGGGGCCGATCCTGTCACTATGATCACCCACTCAGATGGGTTCATGAATCATCTCAACATACCCAGGTTTTGACCCCCTCTAAGGGTCTCACTGATTGGCATATCAAAGATGGCCCAATCCGCCACCTAGTGTGGTGCCATAATCGAGTCTAGGGGTTAGGTGTAACATTCCAGTTTTGCCCATTAATCGCCAAGGTCCAGGGCAATACTGGAATTCTGGTCTGGTTCAAGGTCTCAAGTTGATCCCACACTGCATGTACCTCAAGTCTCACCCTGGTGGCAAAGACAGGCCACCCCAACCGACTTGGCGGCACATCAGTGTTAACCTTATCAGGATAGGTCTCCCCAGACCTACCCGCTGACTGTGAACGTTCTAAACCAACACAAGTCTCATAAGTGTCCGGTTTTAAGGGTATTACACAGAAACACACCACATGACATGAATCAAATATGCACTTCATTCATTTACAATAAATGTCATAAGTACATCAAACTGGTTGGAGCTAAGGGCATACAAAACTGTCTAACAGGAACAGGGAGTGGAACCACAGGGGAAGGAGAAGGGACCTCAGTACTCGAGAAAAATGGGACTGACTCAAAGAAAGTGACATCCGAACACACAAATGACTTATGAGAGTTAGGGTTATAGCACTTATACCCTTTTTGGGTTCTGGAGTATCCAAGTAAGATGCATTTAGTTGCACATGCATCTAACTTGTCTAAACCAAGCCCTACGTTCAAAACAAAACAAACACACCCAAAGACTCTAGGGGTAAGAGGAAACGGAGACAGAGTGGGAAACAATACTGAGAAAGGGGATTAACATCCAAGGATGGACATGGGCATCCAATTGATAAGGAAACATGATGTCAGGATAGCATCACTCCAAAAATGCTTTGGGACATTGATATTAAGCATAATGGACTGAGCAGTTTCAAGTAAGTGTCGGTTTTTCCGTTCAGCCACACCGTTCTGTTGTGGGGTGTAGGAACAAGAAGTTTAAAGAATTATCCCATGGTGCTCTAAGTATTGCTGAAATGGTRTTGAGGTGTACTCTTTCGCATTATCGGAGCGAAGAATTTTGATATGAACTCTAAATTGGGTATGTATTTCAGCATAAGATTTTTGAAAAATAGAGAACAATTCACTTCGGTCTTTCATAAGATAGAGTCATGTCATCCTTGAAAAGTCATCAACAAAAATTACAAAATACTTATAACCATTGTATGACACCACTTTATTTGGACCCCAAACATCTGAATGAACTAAAGAAAAATGACTCAAGACACGACTATCAACTCTTGGACTAAAAGAGACTCTATGGTGTTTCCCAAGCTGACATGACTCACAATCCAATGATGGAAGGTGACTTAAGGATGGAACCAGCAACTTCAGAGCCTTGAGAGATGGATGGCCAAGTCTGTAGTGCCATTGGAGAGGAGTAAGAGATGACTGAAATGCAACTGGCGGGCCACCACCATCAAGGTAATACAATCCACCTGCCTCATGCCCTCCACTAATCTTCATCCCCGTCTTGAGATCCTGAAACACACAGGAAGAGGGATAAAAGGTTATAGAACAATTTGACTTGGTTAATCTACTAACAGACATAAGGTTAAAAGGGAACTTGGGAACATATAAAATAGAGGATAAAGATAAGGAGGTAAGATCAACATCACCAACACCACAAATGGGAGAGGTAGAACTGTTAGCAAGGGTAACTATTTGAGATGTAGAAGATTGAGAAAGTGAAGAAAACACATTTGGAGTCTCAGACATATGATCTAAGGCTCCAGAGTCAATGATCTAGTGTGAACGTTTAGAAGCTAAGCAAGCCATACTTGAATGGGCAAGAGTAGTAGTGTTCTACTGAAAGGATGTCTAAAGGAACTTCTTATATACCTCACGTGGTACATGAGAAGGTCCTTCCCAGAAGCACTAGTAGATGTGGAGGGAGTCTGATCAGTTTGCTGGTTTTCACTAACTATACCACTGCCACTAGTCACAGTATGGTTAGCCCAAGTATTGGGTGGACCATGTAAATCATAACAGAAATTAATAGTGTGCCCCTCTAATCCACAGTATGTGCATTTTCTAGTTGCATTACTTCTTCCTCTACAACAACCTCCCCCTGACTCTTGACCTCCACTGCGGCCACTAAAACGATTAAATATAGGACCACCTCGGTTTCCTGGAAGCCCACGGCCACTATCTCCACCACCTCTATTTCCACGACATCCCCCCTCTAGTCACCACAAAACCATATTTGTCCGAGAGAGAAGAAGACTCTGTAGAATCAATAGATATCCCCTGAAGACGGGCAAACACTTCTTCAAGCGAGGGGAGAGCAGACCCCCCCCCAAGTATTTGTGCTCGAACAGGTTTATATTCAGCCTTCAGACCAACTAGAAACCTTGTCATATCAAGTTGCTCTCGCTGTTGTTTTTGAACCTGAACATCCGGTGTCAGAGGATGATATACATTAAGCTCATTACGGATATTTCTCATGCTTGCATAGTATTCCTCCAAGCTTTGATTACCTTGCTTCAGATTAAAGTATCTTGGTAAAGCTGATAGACCCTAGCGGTATTGTCTTGGCCGGAATAAATTTTCTTAGCATGATCCCAGATTTCTTTAGCTGTATTTAGGAACATAAAATTCATAATGATTTTAGGTCCCATGCTATTCCACAACCAGGTTATAATTTGTGCATCCTCATGTTCCCAAACACTGAGCCCTAGAGAATCAAAGGGGGGTTTCTCCTATCTCACATGTTTTACCTTTTTCTTGGCTTTTAAAAACACCTCAATAGATTTGGTCCACGGCACATAGTTCTCACCATTCAACTTAATGGATGTCATTTGAACATTTAAGTAATCTGGAGAAATCATGACACCTGTTTTATTGTCACTCCCATCTCCAATTGATATCATTTTAACTGATTCACCTCACTTCACAAAGGAATCACTATTATAGACAAAGTACTCACCTTCTACTATTCAGCACCACACCACTCACTACTCAACAAAATATAATTATGACCACACTACTGCTGTCATGAATTCAGCATTCAAAACCCTACTTTCAACTCACATATCCAGGTATAAACAGAAGGAAAAGAGGATTATATGCATACCTATCAATTCACACTGCCACATAAATGAAACCTAGACCAAAAGAAAGTGGCTGTAGTCCACTACTAGGCGAATAGATATTTCTGTTCATACCTGTCCACAACCAGCCCTCTTCGTATCATCGAATAGAAGGTATCTAGTACACCACCACAACGATCACCACCACAGCAACCAGAGGCATATTTACCTCCAAGAACAAAAAATGATCACTCCTTTTTGGCCCCTTATCGAACTTCCAATCTGTCTAGAAGATATTAAAAAAAACTGATATGGCTGGTGGCGATCTCAGGAAGACAAAGGGCAATGAGAAAAGAAAAAAAAAAAAAGAACTGGTTTCTGAAGAAGAAGGGTTCAGCCAGGAGAGAAAAAGTCACTCAGCCCAGCCAGCCCACTTTGTATTTATAGTGAATAAGATGAATTACAAAAGACATTATTGTCCCTTACTAGAGGTGGGACACATAACTTAAACTTGAATAAAATAGACCATTCACTTTTAACTAGATAGAAAAAAGACCAAAATACCCCTGTACTGTTGACTCTAACAGGCTTGATGGTAAAATATCAACAAATATGGATTTTGAGTATGAGACCAACCACTTCAGGTTAAAATGCTAGAGACTGGGTCCTATGAAACCCAGAAACACATACAAGGGTGCTAAATCACGTTGGTTACTTGAACTTTTAGTGTAAATTCCATATATGTTACCTTGTCCAGATATATCCTTGCTGTACCTGGGTAACATAGTTTGGGTTCATTTGCAATCCATGACCATTGGAGGAACCTTCATGTAATTCCTTATTCTGCATGTTTTCTGTTTATGTATGTCTAATTGGATAACCTAATTGATTACCATTGGAAAATAAGATGATTATTGCATTCAGATGTGAGGCATCGGCATATTCTTTTAACAACCTAGTGCCAAATCTTAGAGAAACCTTTATGAAAATCCTTATTCTGAACATTTTCTGTCTATGTATGTCTAAGATGATCCATCAGTTGGAAGACCTAATTATTGAGCACTGGGTCCATAAGCTGATTATTGCACTGAGATGTGAGGCATCATCATATTCTTTGAACAAGCCCATGCCATATCTTAGAGAAACCTTTTTTTGAAACTCCTTGCTATCTGGTACAGCTAATCAAGCAAAAGAGCCCATCCAGTTCAGAATAATGACTAAGAGCAACACATGGCCATGTGTTGATACAAAGATATCCCTGTCAGAGAATCATTGAGTTGATGCAGAATAATAGAAGCTTCTGAAGTCATGTTCAATATAATTCATCTACATTGTTTATTTTGGAGGATATGAAAGCAAAAGAATTTACAGAACATGAAGATATACCCAGCTATTTGATCCATCAATTTCTCTATCAACCCTTCATGCAAGGTGAGTTACTTATTTTCTTTTTCCTCTTGTTCTCCATAACATGATAATATCCATATAGAAGGAAAATAGAAAGATCATCATTTAAGTATCAATGTTTAGTTGATTGGGACTTAATCAGTGAACGTTTGAATTGTCTTATAAAACATGATTTGATCTGACTTGGTAGTACATTCAGGTCTAAATACTTGCATAAAGTGAACATACATCCAAAGTTAAAAAATATTTTTTTGGTGGATGTTGAGAATATGTATTGTGGGCAAGGGTGTTTTACTCATTTTATCCTTTCTTTATTTGGGTTTCCATTCAAGGGGCTTTTATGTAATTTTCTATCTTTTAATATAGAAGGCTCTTTTTGGGGTGTGAACAATAACTCACCCCTTCCTATCGAAACCTTCTCTTCCCTTATCCTCTCTTCTCTTCTTCCTCCCTTCTAAATCTTACAACTTGGTAGCAAATGCATTTTTTTGACCTTAGAAGAGCTCCTTCGACTGACCCTTGAACCCAGGAAGACTTGATGATGGTAGACCGCTGCCAGATAATGTCATCAGTCCATACAAAAGCAGCAACCCTTGAAATTGGTACAATCGAGCATGCCCTAATTTTAGGGAGATTTTGGTATGATTCTCATATCCTGTTGAAGCATCCCTAAATTTTACCAGATTTTTCAATCAAGATAATAAAAAAATACAGGTTTGATGTTTGGGGTTTTTCCTTTGCATCTGAGATTGTTTCTTTCTTGAAACTTGTTTCCCTCATGACGTTTTGCGTTTCTGGAGTTATGAGGAGCT